CGATTATGGACTGGTATTCAGTTAACAGAACAACAATTATCTTCGTATAAGCTGCATCAGAGACAACTGAAGATGAAAATAAAAATAAAACCAAAAGAAAAAAAATATCCAAACTACTGTCCCCATATATAACTAATTTGTGCAGTACACCAGTAAGAACCTGCTTTAAATTTCCATGCCAATTTACAACCCCCAGACTGTACCAGGCAAAGTTAGTGGCTATTGAAAATACTACCAGGAAAGGGCTATCTAAAGACACATTGGGTAGTGTGATAACTATACAAAAAAAAGACACTACAATTTAAAAACAAATCTTACACAGCCTTACATTTCAATTTTTTTCTTTAAAAGGAGTTGTGTACAGAGGGATTAAATGTTTTATAGACAAGAAAAAGAAAACGGCACTAGAACCAACTTACTCATCATCATCCTCTTTCTCCTCTTCTTCATCCTCTTCATCCTCCTCATCTTCCTCTTCCTTCTTTTTCTTGCTCTTTTCAGCCTTGACCACCCCCTTTTTCATTGCATCAGGTTTTCCTTTAGCTCTGTAGGCAGCAATATCCTTTTAGTACTTCTTCTGCAGCTTGTCATCTGCTGCAGTGTTATTCCACATATCTCCTAGTTTCTTTGCAACATCACCAATGGATAAGCTAGGATGCTTGCCTTTGATTTTTGGGCAGCACTCAGAACAGAACAGGAAGAAGGCTGAAGGAGGCCTCTTGGATGCATTGGGGTCCTTGAACTTCTTGTTGGTCTCCCCTTTGGGGGGATGTAGGTTTTCATTTCTCTTTCATAATGAGCCTTGTGAGCCTTTGCCATATCTTCAAATTTCCACTTTTCTTTAGCAGTCATGGTCTTCTACCTCTGAGCACTTCTTGGAGAACTCTGAGAAGTTGACAGATGCATCTGGGTGCTTCTTCTTGTGCTCCTCCCAACAGGTTTGCAAAAGGCACAGAGTTGCCCAGTGTCTGTTTGGCTCTCACTTGTCCTGGCACTGTCTCTATGGAGCTTAATGTACTACAATGGCTGTCATAAAACTGTATTTTGATAGGTTCATAAAAGCAGGACAGTGTGTAATGTAATGAGTTTTACATCTAATCTGGACTTGAAAGTGGATCCTGCTGTCTTGTTCTGAAGCCTATCTGTGGTAGAAACCAAGACTTCTCCTCGGCATTGATTTAGATGCTCTGGACAAGATCATTTTTACTGATACATGTTCAGATGACAAAGTTTGGATGATCTATGATTTCAGACAGGGATTCTCAGTAAGTAAGAGTACAGTAGTAGTCACTCAAAGGAGTTGTTCCTATATTCCAGTTGCTTAGCGACCATTAGAGAAGCTATGTGTCCTGTTAACCTGCTGGCTTTATCTGCTTTCTTTGTCTAATCCTCATGAACACCAGAGAGGCTTTATTATTTTCTTAGTATCTATTGCCACCAATTGAGTGTGCTTCTTTGGAATTCTCAATTCACCATGAAGCAGTGTGGAATGTATAAAAATTGTACTGTTTGACACTTTTTGCAAATTTTAATATTTGGATTAAATTTTATATGTGCTTCCCTCTTGTCAGCTTTGTAATGATCATTCAAGGAGTTTTTAGGCTTCTCTGCTTCAAAGGTATTTATATGTTTTGCTATACATTGTCATGATTCTGGACATTCTGGACTGAGGGCCAGTTGATGGAACTTTTCTGATTCAACTGTTGAGTACCATTTTTTTGTAGAACATTCTTATGTCAAATGTGGAAAAGGCAACGTAGCCAGTTACTGATTCCTTAAGAGGGGGGGAGTGTGCAGAGAAGATATGTTAAATATTGGCTGTGGAGGAGGGGGGCAATGATTTTGACAAATGTTTAAAATCATAATGCTAGTTATATTTATGTCACTTTGACACAAATTAGTTATCTGAGAGGAGGAAACCTTGACTGAGAAAATGTCTCCACAAGATCTGGCTGTGGAGTCAGGCCTGGTGGCTCATGCCTTTAATCCCAGTACTCAGAAGGCAGAGGCAGGCAGATCTCTGTGAGTTCAAGGCCAGCCTGGTCTACAGAGTGGGTTCTAGGATACCCAGGGCTACATAGAGAAACCCTGTCTCAAAAACCAAACCAAACCAAACCAAAATAAAAAAGATTGAACTGTGGTCCAGTCTATAGAACATTTTCTTCATTAGTGATTGATAGGGGAAAGCACAGCCCATTGTGAATGGAGCCATCTCTGGGCTGAATGTCCTGGGATCTGTAAGAAAGCAGGCTGAGCAAGCCATGTGGAACAAGCCAGTAAGCACCATGCTCCCACAGCTATTGCATCAGCCCCTGCCTCCATTTGGAAATGTAAGCCAAATAGCTAATTCTTTCCCAGTCTTTCCATAGTGTTCAGATACCCAGGGCATGTAGTAGGGAGGACAGAGAGGGCAGGAAGCAGTATTGGCAATACTGTGTTCTGGTGTCTGAGGGCACAGAGTAGTTATCTGGTTAGCAAGAAGATGCAAAAGTGACTTGTATAAGAGCTAGCTGGAGAGGCTACATTGGCAGATTAGTGCCATTGAATACATAAGTACATATATTAAGGATATGGGAATTTGATTTTGCTCTGTCTGAGAAAGGCTTGCAAACCTGGAATGGAGACTGTTGATAAGAAATCAAGGAGACCAGAATTGGAAGACTGAATGTGAAGCATGGGTTCTAAAGATGTGTCAGATACATACATGCATATGGACATTTCTTGGTGCTGTGCCTAGAGGACCTGTAGGTAGTAGCACCCTCTCAAACAGCAATAGCAAGCACCAAGTCAGTCAGTCTGCCTCTCTCTCTCTCTCTCTCTCTCTCTCTCTCTCTCTCTCTCTTTCTTTCTTTCTTTCTTCATTTTGTTTAAATTGGATATTTCCTTTATTTACATTTCAAGTGTTATCCCCTTTCCTGGTCCTCCCCCCCCAACTTCCTTCCCATCTCCCTTCCTCCTGCTTCTATGAGGGTGTTCCCCCACCTATCTACCCACTCCCGCCTCCCTGCCCTCGCATTCCCCTACACTGGGGAATGAGCCTTCACAATACCAAGGGCCTCTCCTCCCATTGATGCTCGACAAAGCCATCCTCTGCTTCATATGCAGCTGGAACCATGGGTCATTCCATGTGTACTCTTTGGTTAATGGTTTAGTCCCTGGAAACTCTGGGGGTGTGTGTGTCTGGTTGGTTGATATTGTTGTTCTTCCTATGGGGTTGCAAACCCCCTCAGCTCCTTCAGTCCTTTCTCTTCCATTGGGGACCCTGTGCTCAGTCCAATGGTTGGCTGCAAGCATCTGCCTCTGTATTTGTCTGGCTCTGGCAGAGCCTCTCAGGAGACAGGCTCCTGTCAGCAAGCATTTCTTGGCATCCACAGTAGTATCTGTGTTTGTATATGGGATGGATCCTCAGGTGGGGCAGTCTCTGGCTAGCCTTTCCTTCAGTCTCTGCTCCACACTTTATCTCTGTATTTGATCCTGTGAGCATTTTGTCCCCACTTCTAAGAAGGACTGAAGCATCCACACTTTGGTCTTCCTTCTTCTTGAGCTTCATGTGATCTATGAATTGTATCTTGGGTATTCCGAGCTTTTGGGTTAATATCCATTTATCAGTGAGTGCATACCATGCAAGTCTTGCTTTCTAAATATTGTCTTCCACTAAAAGAAACTAAGAGTATGAAAACATACAAGTTTCATCTAAGTAATGCTTTGTCATTAAGATGCATTGCTATGGTATATCAACATTTTGTGAAGTTTAAAAAATTTAATATAAAGATAAGGAAACTTTTCCATTGGGAGAGGGAGTGACGGAATCATAGGCTTCATGAAACAAAAAGTAATGGTGTAAATCCTTTCTCCCTGCTCAAATTAAATTTACCAAAATTCAATCAATTTGTTTCTGTGATGCTGTGATGTTTAAATGCCTTCAAGTTTATATTATTACAAATTCAAGGAGTTTCCTATCCCTTGCTTAATTTGGTGAGCATTCTCCATTTCGTTAATGTGTGTTGTACTCAGCTATTGGTTTGATA